CTTGGTAAAATATTTGATGCACTGGTAACCAAAGGAAATAAAATTTATTTTTGCCACTATTGTAGCATGCCTGGTATTAATTAGTAGCATATTGTGAATAGTCAAAGCAAATGAATGGATACAATGAGTTTTACAGCTAGCCTTACAGCAAGGAAAGCGATGCATGAACTGAGGAGTTATGGGTAGCAAGAAAATGAGATTGTCCTGCTGATTGGATGTAAAAAAGCAGTGAGCAATTCAAGTGCTCCCAGTCAAACAAACTGCTTGTGGCACTAGTACTTGTACCCAATTACTGATTCAGAGAGAAAATAAAAAGCCGTTTCAGTAGAGTCAGGGTGGGAAATCTCCAATTAGCACCAATTAGCGAAGTTGCTTCCTATAGCAGAATTCTGGGGACACAAGGGAAAAAAAATCTCCCAGAATGCCTATTGAAGCATTTATTTACCAGGTGAAGGGACTCCCAAAGAATAACTTGATGAGAATTTGTGCCTGTGGGACTTGAATACAGATACTATTTGAAACTTGCCTGCTCGATTTGACTGGTCAATCATAGGCTGTACTATTCTTCTTCTGGCGTTAATAAACCTGAAACAAAACACAAAGCATAGAAATCTATTTGTTGGCTGAGTGTTTATTTTTTTTAAAAAAAAATAATCATTAGAACCCTTTAAAAAGCTGAAGAACAGCAGTGCAGAGGGACCCCCCCCCAAAAAAAAAACCCTGAGAAAAGACTATCATATAACTTGCCAGGAGATTTTAAAGCATTTTTTTTTTAAAAAAAGTGTGTAACAGAATACTTGACTTCACTCACTATTTCTAAATGCAAAATTATTCAATCAGCCAGAAATCTGGCTAAGACTGCAGAAGACATATTTATTTTTCAGCCCTAGCAATTCAGCCACCATTGCAGCTGTCCATAAATGAGGACCAGACTTTGCTATTCTGTGCTTTCACAAGGTATTGTTAGGTCAGCAAAGCCATCAATTAGGCTGTCTGAAGTTTTATCACCAGTGTAGCAGCAGTAAGAGCAGGCAGAATCCCGGCTCTTCTGCCACTCCTGCAGTTTCAGCCAGTAAAGCCAAGGGTCATTTGGAGGTCAGTGCCAGCTGGGGGCAACCTTTCCAGCAAGAGTGGGGCACCAGGGGCAGAGAGCACAGGGCACCTTCCAACCATAAACTCGGGCACCTTTCAACTTGACAGAAAGAGGGAGTTTGCAGGTACATGTGTTTAATATTAGTCCTGAAATAACTTCTTCTCCAATCAGGTACCATAACTAAAGCAGCACTGAAGTCATCCGAACATCAGGCAAACCCATTATTTAGGAAGGGAAGTCTGGATTTAATTTTGTGGATAATTCAAAAATAAATGCTTGCATATTTCCCCATTAAGTTAATGCGTAACAACCCACATCAGTTAATCTTGGTTCAAGTTAACCCTGAGACAATGATTCTTCACTTCCAAAAATTAATTGAGTAGGTTACTTCATGCCATCATTTACAAGGTATGTTTATTTTACTTTATTTTATTTTGATGCATATTCTTTGCCTTTTATAGCACCTTAATAGTGATGTTCAACAGGACTGCCCTCGGATTTCCTCAAGACAGTGAACACAGGCCCCAGAACTGCCAGTCTATTTTAACACTTATAAAAATACATTCTATAAGTAAATAAAAACTAAACAACTAAAGAAATAATAATTTCCTAGCTTCTTTATCCAATATCCATTTGTACATTTATTTGGTTTAAGATGTGCTCCTTCAGTAGTTTGTTGGATAGGCCGACCAGATCTGGACTTCAAAACTCAGGATGACCACCAGATGGCATCTCTAGAGTTTGGTAGACATGATCTGGCAGCTACATCTTATATACCATGACAGATGCCACTCTGGAGGATATGCAGTATGCCTAGTACATTGTATTTTCCAAAGTCACCATTTTACAAATACAAAATTGAGACAGAGTTTTAACCCATATGCCTGAGAGCCAATTTGGTGCAGTGGTTAAAACACCAGGCTAGAAACTGGGAGACTGTGAGTTCTAGTCTCACCTTAGGTACAAAGACAAAAAAATAAACAACCTTGGGCCAGTTACTCTCTCTCAGTCCTAGGAAAAAGATAATGGCAAACAAGAAAATTGCAGGGACTAGTTGACATTGACTCAAAAGGACCAAAAAAAGAAAGCATCTATAGCATTGGACAAGGTAAAAAGATGATGATAAATCTAAGCCCCAAAATATTTTTTCTTAAATAACACTGAAGATAATTAATATGATTATACCATATAATTCCTCCCTACTATGTTACATTAACAGTTATAAATATGTGATATCTTAGAAAAAGCTGCACCCAAGACCTTAGGATTGTTTCATATAGTCCTGTATCCTCTGGCTGTAAAATCCTAATCTTCAAGATACTGAAAATCAGCTGACTGAGGCATTCACCTCACTCTGTGTAATGGAAGGACTAGCATTAGTATTTTAAGCTTCATCCAGTATTAGAAATGCAAATAAGCATGAACTTTAGGGTCTTGTGTAACCCACTTGTGAATACTAAACATGTCCATTGTCTAACGGAACTTCAGTAAGAATTAGTGCACACCACACAAAAGTTTACAGAAATGTTCAACAAGCTTTAAATAAGGCCAGTATTTAATACAGATAAACTCATTTATCAAATTAATCTGCTTTAACATTAAGCACTTGGGCTGCAAATACCACATTTCTTCCACAATTTCAAATCCACTTTCCTGCAATATATGTAGCATGTATTAAATATTAATATAAATATACACGGACACAAATATGATCATTTATTATATACCAAAATATATTAATATAAAATATTAAAGGGCCTTCATTGGCCCTACTCTCAAGGTCTCCAAGTGAACCAGATCTGCTAATTCCACACTTTCTTCAGCAAGGCTTGAATAGGGCTTCTACCTTGCTTGAATGAAAACAGAACTATTAGATAATTAGGAACATTGATAAAGCAAGGATTTATCTAACTGCATGGCTGCCCTGTTGTCAGAATGGGTCAGCAAACATTTCTAGAGGGATGCTGCCTCTGTTAATTCCACACTCATCATCAAAGGGACCTCAGGGCACATTTTTCTGCTCCACTTCTGAAGTACACTTTTTCATGCTATATCACCTTGAATGTTCCTGTCCATTTGGGATAAAGCACTTCAATTTCTTACAAGCTAACACCTGGAATTCATTAGCTACTTCACTGAGGCAGGGATGCTCTTCAAATTAGTCAGTGCTTATTATAGTCTCCAATATTTTTCAGATCTACAATGGCTATTACATTTGTCTTCTAAATAGAAGGTTGCTAGTTTGAAATCCAGCTTTTTCTTTTTTTTAATATTATTGCTCTCTAAGATTCCTATTTGTCCTCTGTTTTTTTTTTCTTTTAAAAATCTAGCAGTGCGTGTTTTCATCCATTTTCTAGTTAACTGAAGGAAAAGGGCTTCACTCCACTCCCAAAATAGCTCCTAGATCAGTGGTTCTCAACCTGTGGGTCGGGACCCCATTTGGGGTCGAATGACCATTTCACGGGTGTCGCCAAACAATGCAGTCCGCCATTTTTTTCCCCTTTTCCTTAGCTGTGCTACTCCCTTTTATTCTATTGGCTTTTGAAAGCCAATAGAATAGATTCTCTTGAATAGAGTATAATTCTATTGGCTTTCAAAAGCCAATAGGAATTGTCCAGGCTGTCTCTGCCCTGCTGAGCCCGCCAAAAGTCCCATTCTGCAAATGGTGCTGCACCAGTTGAGTAGTCCTCAACTTATGACCGGTTGAGTAGTCCTCAACTTACAACCGGTTGGGGGGTCACGGCATTAAAAAGGTTGAGAACCACTGTCCTAGATTATTTGGGCTCTTTAAGAATTGTGGGTGATTATTTTCTATCTTGCATTATTAAAATGATTTTGAAATGATATACTGCTGAACTTATTTTTTTTTAAAAAGCATAGGTCACAATATAAACTCAGGGAAGAAATAAAAGGCAAATTCCACATATTTCTGCTTGAGTGTGATTGTGAACCAAAAAACATTTGTTTGCCGGGCAAGGGTTTTACCCATTATGTTATTATAGCACCACTGGTATACAGTTGTCCTAAAAGATAATAGAAAAGAAAAGGGCCATAATATTTTTTTTGTTATTGGGAATTTTGGTATTTTATCTTTGTATGTATAAATTCTATTTAACTTTGATAGGTATATATGTGCATATCTACATATTATATATGTAGATACACAAACATGCATGTAGAAGAATCTGTCTGTCTGTCTGTCTCCACACATGAAAAGGAAAATGAGGACAATTGCTTTCCTGGAATAGAAAGGAGAACTATCCATTGAAGGATTTGGCAGCCTGCTGTCTGGACTGAATACCTTGGAAGTTGTTGCCAAAGTGTCTCAGTCAGGACAGGATTTTCTTAAGATGGCTTATAGATAAGCTGGAAGGAGCACAAGACAGGAGCAGCTTTAAGCCTGGGTATGCCTCAATATTTCCAATCACAATTAAGAGTTATACCCATATTCAAGTTTATGGAAGCAGAATTCCCCTTCAGCCTTGTTGTTCAATCTAGAAGGAACATGAACAGAAAAACCGAGTCAGGGCAGTGCATACAACTCTACCTCTTGGTCGAGGAAGATTCTCAGTCATCAGGTAGAATGATCTGGAAGTTGAGTCATGGCAACTGGACTTCTTTCTTTTTGGTTCAAAACATTTTGCTGCTTATCCAAAGCTGAAGAAGCTACTCGGATAAGCAGTGAAGTCCAATTGTCATAACTCAACTTCCAGAAAACTCTATCTCTTGTATGTGTTTGTATATCCCAGCTGGGACATGATGTGGAAAAGGCAAACATCCTCTACCTCAAGTGTGGAAAAAATATTTATAATTAGTCAAAAGCAATTTTCAGTGAATAAATTACTGCTTTTATAGTTCATTTTTATAGAGAATAATTTCTGCCACTCTAGTTAAACAAAATATTCTGACTTCCATATTTCTGTATTCCTTCAAGACAAAAAAACTTTGATAGCATTTTCCTTAGCTCCTTTCCAATAAGTTGCCACACTGACCAAACTGAAATTGACCTGAGCTTCTACATCCAGCATGCCTTTTATCAGCTGAACTTAATGCCAAAAGAGATTAGCAGAAAAGCCTGATAAGACTGTTTTCTTTTCAATGAGCTTTTAATGATGTATGCAGATGGCAAGGTTTACAGAACTAAAGAAGCACATACTGTACTGGGACTGGTAACACACAACAGATTCTCCTCTACTTTGAGCTTTACCGACCTTTGCTTTTTCAACTTTCATTCATAAGGCAATTCATAAGGTAAATTAAATTGCTTTTTCAGTTTTTATTTCACTTCCAACCACTTTCTATTATTTACCTCTGGTGGTCCTCTTGTTTTTGTCCCATTCTACTTCCTTGCAACTCTCTCTTACCCAAAAAACTGCAATGCATTAGGGTTCTTCATTCTCAGTAGGAGAACACTACTCTGTCTTCAAACAAATAATTAAGGGGAAGGTTAAAGGAGGTCACACAGAGGTCATATCTTTAGAAACTGGTCAGA